TCCGCCCTGCGCCCCCCACGGCGCCCCCCCCCCCCCCCCATGACCATCCCGACCTTCAACCCGCAGCAGCGCTGAGATGACTTTTTCGTCTTCAAAGAAGCTGCGAAAGCGCCGCGCGGCGTTAAGAAGCTTAACTCAGGAAGCCTCTCGACATGCTGACAAGCAAACTCAAAGGAGCTTTCGCGGGGGAGGAGGGGGGGGAGGGTTGAAGTGCAGGCGGGCGCGAGGGTGCGACGGGTTGCCTGAGATGCGATGCATGAAGACGTCGTCGCTTCTGACGGGAAAGAAAGTGACGACTCAAATCCTCACGCACCGAGCTGCAATTTAACACTTCAGGTGGGAGGAGCTCAGAGGCATGAGCGTGCATGTGTGTGTGTGTGTGTGTGTGTGTGTGTGTGACACGTAAGCCCGTGCGGATAAATGTCGGATCTTCTGTTGCGACTCGGTGGCGGATATTTTCAGAGAAGCTAACGTTCATCATCGGCTAATGACCTGCGAGTGATGATGTCACTCCGACGTATTATTGGTCAGAAGTTCAGCTTACGCTCCTGCGGTTAAAAGTTCGAAAGTCACCGGCAAGATGGCTGACATCAAACGGGAAGTTCTGAGTCAGCAACAGGAAGCGTTGAGTCGCAATCAGGAAACGCGCCAAACGCCAAACAGGAAGCGGGACGAGAGCAGCAGCAAACACGGCACGTCGGGGATCGGCGCCGCCACTCACCGGTGACCAGGAAGGTGCATCTCCCCGCTCCGGCCTCGTTGCTGATGTCGCACGTGTACTCTCCGTAGCCTTCGCGGTTGAGCGCCCGCACCTGGTAGTGCGTCTCGTCGCGCCGCTCGTCGAACTGGCCCACGGTCAGGAGGCGGGAGCCCAGCTTCCACTCGTAGCGCAGCAGGCGGGCCGGGTGGGCGCGCAGCAGCCGGCACGTCAGCGAGAAGGCCCGGCCCAGAGCCTGGCGGACCTCCGAGAACGTCGGCTCCACCGCCGGCGGGACTGCGCCACGCCGCCGCCGCCCACAAACAACATTAGCTTACGTGGCCGACGTTTGGCAGACTCAAATTGCCCTCGCCGATGAGTTTTGAAACTGTGTTTTTCACAAGTTCGACAATACGTACGCGGGCCCGATTTTTTTTCAAGAGTAAATATCGGCCGGATGAAGAATCGCGCCGCGTCGCCGCGCGTTACCCACACTGCACCAGGAGCTGCACGAGCGCCTGTCGGGGTTTGACGTTGAAGCCGTTGTACTGGCTGGTCTGGCAACGGTAGGTCCCGCCCATCTCCCGCGTCACGTTGGCGAGCCTCAGCACGCCGTCGTAGCTTTCCGTGCGGGCGCCGTCCTCGGATAGCGGCGGCGGCGGCGGCGGCCCCGCCGGCGCCGCCGCCTCGCCGGCCGCCACGGCGGCGGGACCGTCCTCCACGCGGGACCACAGGATGACGGGTTTGGGTTTGCCCGACACCAAACACTGCAGCTCCACCGCCTCGCCCTCCTGGGCGATGATGTGAGAGCGCCCCCTGGGCACCGTCAGCTCAGGAGGAACTGCAACAACGGGGAGGCCCCGAGGGCTGCTTTAGGAAGGGCCCCCGAGGTCGGCCCCCCGACCCCCCCGCGCTCACCCGTGGTGGACGAGATGTTGACGTCGATGCTAATCTCGGGAGCCCCTCCGTCCCTGAGCGACGCCACGCAGGTGTACGTTCCGAAATCGGTGAACTTGAGGTCGATGATGTCCAAGTTGGTGACGCCCGGCGACATCTCGGCGTCCGAGTGCGTGATGACCATTCGCTCCGAGCTGCGCAGCGGGCGGCCGTTCTTCAGCCAGTTGAATTGCAGCTCCTCGGGGGGCGTGGCCTCTACCTGGCAACTGATCTTGACCTCGCGCCCGATCTGGATGTGGTCGTCGTTGTGGTACGGGTCCGGAGTGATCCAGAAGCGAGCCTTGCGCAGACCTGAGCGAGAAGCGACAAGTTGGAGCCACAAACGGGGAAGACGGAAAAAAAACAGGGATTCGTCTGCGGATACAAACGCGTTGATGTGAGCCCGTTTGTGTCCGCACAAGTGGGCGTGCGTTTGTGTGTGTGGGCGTGTCCATAAATAGCTGCAAAAAGCGCGCGTGTGCATGTTGAAGGCGCGTTACACAACGTGCGGGCGTGCTGGATTCCTTCTCAGACTTTCCGGAGAAACGCGAAGGACGGCCGCACTTGCGTCACGCGCGCCCGCGTGGCTCCTCCCACTGGACGACGACGGTACAACGACGCGAGTGGGCGTGCGCGGCCGCACCTCGAACGAGGACGTTGGCCGACTTCCTGGCCGCGTTGCCCACGTTGTTGTCGGCCAGGCAGGTGTAGGCGCCGCCGTCGTCCACGGTGACGGCGGGGATGGTGAGCGCGCCGCCCTCGCTCACGCTCCTCTTGGGGAGCGCCTCACCGCCGGGACGCAGCCAGCGGAGGGCGGGAGGGGGGTCGCCGCCGGACGCCGCGCACACCAGCGTCGCCGTCTCGCCGGGGTTCACCACCAGCGGGTCGTCCAGGAGCAGCTTGACGGAGGGCGGGGCTTCCGCACAAAAAAAAAAAAAACGCAAACCGTCAGCGGCCCCGCCCGACGCGTGGGCAACAGCGCCCGCATCCGCATCCGCATCCGCATCCGCATCCGCACCCGTCCTGTTGCTGAGGCCGAAGTGCGCGATCTTGTCGGCGATGTGGCACACGTTCCTGACGGAGGCGACGCACGTGTAGTTGGCGTAGTCCTGAGGACGCAGGTTCTTCAACTTGAGGATCTTGGTCTCGCCCTGAAACACGGCGAGGTTGACGTGTGCGCCGGCGAAAGGCCGCGTGGTGGGCCGCCGCCGCGCGAGCGCGCGTGAGGGCGCACCTGCGTGAAGAAGGGCTCGTAGATGTCCACGCCGGCGTCGGCCCCCTGCGACAGCACCTGGCGACCTCTCCTCCACGTGTAGTGCACGGGCGGGTTGGACGCGGCCACGCAGCGCAGGAACACCGTCCTCTCGAAGTAGAACAGCTCCTTGGCGTCGCCCACGCTTTGGTGCACCGTGATCAGCGGCTCGTCCAGAACTGGCAACACACGCGGCCGCGGCCGTCAGGCATCGCGCGGCACGAGAAGCCGCTCGAAGAGACGGCCGGCGTCCTCACAGTACACGTCCACTCGGATGGATCGGATGGCGGGGGTCCCCATGCCGTTGTCGGCCTTGCAGTAGTAGCGGCCCCCTTGGTGCCGGTCGATGCTCTCGATCTTCAACGTGTCGTTGTGCGCCCCGGAGTCGCCTTGGCGCTCCGAACCTGCTCCTGCGGTCTTGGTCCAGCGCACCTGTGGCGAGAACAGGAAGTGAGCCAAAGGAGCCGCTTCCATCCGAACCGATCCTTTCCGCGTGCACGTACGCCGCGTGCCGACGACGGATCTACTTTGAGCTTCCGTAACGACAACTAGCAAAGCGGAGAAAGCCGGCGGCAAAAAGACCAAGCAAAGGAGGAGTCCGAGGCGTCGCGTCATTGGCCGGAACGTTCCGGCAACGTGTCTGACACGCTGCCGCCAGGCCGCCGCCGCGCGATGCCAACCGGAGCCCAAAAGCAGTCACGTGACTCGTCCTCCCAACTGGAGCCCGCTTGAAGTTGAAATTGGCGTCACAAAAAAAGATTTCCAAAAAAGCGTCCGGTCTCCGACAGCTCCCGCAGCCCCCCCCTCCCCCCCTTCTATGCGGCCGCCGGCGCGCGAGGCCCGCTGACCTGCGGTCGCGGGTGTCCGGTCACCAGGCAGACCAGTTCCAGCGTTTCGCCTTCTCTGATGGTGTAGACTCGCTCGCTGTGGCGTTCCTCCTCCACGTTGCAGGCTTGTCCCGAGTGCACGATGCGAACGCTAGGTGGCGCTGCCCAACACACACACACACACACACACACACACACACACACACACAAGCATTTTCACCTTGAAAGCAGAAAAGAGAAATGCTTCTTGCTCTGCTGAGACGTCACGTTTGGGTTTTGGCTTTGTGCCCATCGCTATGGCAACGCATCGCCCGATTGCCTGCATGGAAAAATAATCTGATGACATCAAGGATATGACCCCCCCCCCCAGTGACTTCACCGTGACATGTGGGTGATGCAAGCATTTGGCGGCGTCGGGTGCAAAAAGTCCACTTGACGTCCAATGGGAAGTGATGTCACGGGACAGGAAGCACAGAAAACACACACACACACACACATACAAGTACTCGAATGGAAAGCGAAGTACCCTCTTGTCAAGTAAGTGAGGGCGGGGGCAGACCAAATTGTGACGCAAACGAAATCGAAATGATTGCGCGGCTGCGAGGAAGACGAGCAAGAGGATGAAGGTGAAAGTGAGAGGGGGAGGGGCCTGCAAGGATGTCCTACTTTGGCTCTTCTATTTTTAGATTGGCATTTTTTTTTCTTCTTTTTTTTTTTTTTTTTTTGATCTCCTCTGACTGCTGACGTCACACGCGCAGGCACGCACGCGAGCGCGCTTGGCTCCCTGCGGCCTTTCCCAAGCAAAGCAGAAGCGGTGCGATCCCAGGTCAGCTGATTTGGGGCTCTTCGGGGGTGTCACACCTTCTCCTCGGTCTGTGGCGGCGTTACATAAGACTCCCCCCCACCCCCACCCTCCTCCCCTCGCCAACATCACTCCTTCCCTTCACTCCTACTCGACTCCCCCC